AGAGGCTCCTGGGGAGGGCGCAGCGGGACTGGCCCGGCCGGACATTCCCCCTCTGGGCTGCAGCCCGGGCTCCGGGGCCCCGCAGCAGCCCCCGCCGGGGCTCGGGGATCCGGCCCGGAGCCTGGCCCCAGAGTCCCCGCGAGCAGCGGCGGCGAGTCGCTTCCTGCGGCCGGGCCGGAGCCAGCGATCGCTCCCCCCGCGCCTGCTGCTGCTGCTGCTGCTGCTGGGTCCTAGCGAGACACCCGCCATCCGCGCTGCGCTGCGCCCCTGGGCCTGGCTCTGCCCCGCTCACAGACCCCTCGGGAGCAGCTATCCCGGGGGGATGTTTGGTGGCCGCAGAGTGGGGCAGCCCCGCCCCCTAGGGGCCGCTTTGACAGGAGTTTCTGAAACCTTTAGGATAATCCAGTAACTATGCCCAGAGCTCAGCGGGGAAATCGTCTCTCTCTTGTGTAGCTTTCCTGGCTTTCACACTGTTCATGGATTTGCCCATCACTCTGGGGTATGCTCTTTTATTAGGGCTACTCTTATTACGCTGGCGGAGGTGAAACATTCTAGCCCTGGGCTGCTTGAGCTCTCATATGGAGCTGAATTCTCCCTGCTTCCAATTCCTTCCTGATCCTAACGAAGCTCTCCTGTGGGAACTGTTCCTCAAGATGGGGTTCTTCCCACCTTAGAAACACAAGGACGCTTACCCCCACTAACAGAGCCCATCTGAGAGGACTGGGTACTCAGCACTCACAAGCTGACCCTTCATATGTCTCTGGACTCACCAGGCTGGGTTTAACAGCAACACTACGCTGAACCCCCACATGCCTTTGGACTCAGTGGGCAGGATTTAACAGCCCTTTCAGCTGCCATCCTCATATACCCCCCAGGTTCAGCACCTCCCTATCCCCACTTTCACACCACCGTCATTCTGCTGGTAAACCACGTGATGAGCAAACCCCGCGGGATTTTTGGGCACTACACCGATCTTTAGCTTGGGCACAAGAAGCGATGTGGCAGAGCGAATAGGGAAGCCAAAACAACACCCCCCCAAGAGAGCGAGCGAGAAAGGAAAAGAGAGAGAAGCAACCAGCTTAACAATGAAAGTTATTTATTTCTGGGTAGAGAATATATATATATGGGGAGCCAAACACGCAAAACAGTTACAATATTAAATCTAAATTGAAACTGATTACAAATGTTAGGGCTAGCAAGCTATATAACAGTTTACATAGGGCAGGGTCAGGAAGCTATACCTAGAGGCTTTGTCTAGACTGGCAAGTTTTTCCACAAAATCATCTGATTTTGCGGAAAAACTTGCCAGCTGTCTACACTGGCCGCTTGAATTTCCGGAAAAGCACTGACGATCTCGTGTAAGATTGTCAGTGCTTTTGCAGAAATACTATGCTGCTCCCGTTCGGGCAAAAGTCTTTTTCCGAAAGACTTTTGCGCAAAAGGGCCAGTGTAGACAGCATAGTACTGTTTTCTGCAAAAAAGCCCCAATCGCAAAAATGGCGATCGGGACTTTTTTGCAGAAAACCGCGTCTAGATTGGCCACGGACGCTTTTCCGCAAAAAGTGCTTTTGCGGAAAAGCATCCTGCCAATCTAGACGCGATTTTTCTGAAAATGCTTTTAACGGAAAACTTTTCCATTAAAAGCATTTTCGGAAAATCATGCCAGTGTAGACGTAGCCAGAGAGAGATAGTGGGGGCGGACAGGGAGACAAATTTCAACACTCCATGGAGCTTGCACTGATCGGGGTTCCCAGATGGTGATGGTAGCCAGGGGTCCAGAGGGCAGGAGACAAGCAGAGCAAAGCCCCCAGCATGATCAGGCAGGAGATGAAGAAGTCTCAATTGAACTGATGCAGTTTAAATCCAGGTATCAGAACAGTTTTTCTAGGGCAAGGGTAGGAGTTTTTGTAGGGACAGGACAATAGTTTGAGGGGAACACTGGATTTGTTTATAGGTAAACAGAGGTAAGACAATAGAGACTGGTCACCTGGCTATGGGTGATGTTCCTTGAATGAGCTCACAATAGGCAGTTTCAGGATTTTGGATATCAATAGGATCCATTACTAGAATTGGTCTGATAAGGACTAATTTGAGGGTGAGCAGGCCTAGGTCCATTAGCATCTGGAGCAGAGATTTCCCATGAGGCAGCACTTCTCTGCTTTCGATATCCCATAGTTCAGTGTGGTTTCTGCTTTGGAAGAGCTGTTCTCTATTCTGTCTGCTAATGGAGATGTCTCTCTGTTCTATCTTCAATGCCGATGAGGCTGAGACATTTCCCTAATCCTATGACCCTTGTCTGCAGTTTAGCTGTGTCTTCCCCCGCCTTTTCCTTGCTTTGTCTGTGATTCAAGCAAAGGCCTGGGGGAGAGGGGATTGTTTTCCATGAGTATCACTCCCTGGCTCTCCAAGACCATAGGGCTGACACGTGGCCATGCTTTGGTTCCCCAAGATCACAGGGCTGGTAGGTAAATCATGCTCTCATTTGCATATCTTCAAAAAATGAGGGTTATAGGACCTTGCGAAAAGGGTTTTTTCTGACTAATGGCCCTGTCTACACGGGGCTTTTGATCGGCAAAACCTCTTCTGCAAAAAGGATCAGCAGAAGATATGCAAATGAGAGCACAAATTGCATATCTTCCGCAGAAAAAAAACGGCAGAGTAGACATAACCTTTAAGTACAACCCCTGGGAAGCCCCAGTGAGGTAGGACAGAAACAGGGCCCCGGTGGCTGCAGGCAAGAGCTAAGCCCAAGCCCTGTAGCATCAGGGCTGGAGAAGAGCCAGTTGGAGGGAGGGGAAGTGTCCTCTGAGACTGGTTGCAGGGGATCTCCTCATATCCGGCAAATCCCCTCATTCGGGACGGATTGGCTCCTGAGAGTGCTGGACCAAGAAGATGCAACCTGTAGTGTCTTGCTCACAGCACTCCTGCTAATGCATCCCAGATTGATGTTTGGGGTTTTTTTTCCTTCAATAGTGTCACACTGTTGGCTCATATCTACCTTGTGGTCCACTATGACCCTGGTATCCCTTTCTGCAGGACTCCTTCCTCGACAATCACTTCCCCTTCTGTATGTGTGAAATGGATTGCTCCTCCCTAAGTGGAGTAGTTTGCATTTGTCCTCATGAAACTTCATCCTATTTACCTCAGACCATTGCTCCAGTTTGTCTAGATCAGTGGTTCCCAAACTTTTCGGCATCACGCCCCCTTTTTGCTTTTTGAGAAACCCCCCCCACCTCCCCCCCAATAGCATCAAAACTTATTGAACCAAAAAAAAAAAAAACCCAAAGGAACTAACCAGGACCGAAAAACAAAAATAGCAGCAAAACTTAGGAAGGGGAATTGAAAGGGGCGGGGGGTTGGGTCCCCTCCCCTCCCCCCCCCCCTGAAATTTCTTCATGCCCCCCAGTTTGGGAACCCATGGTCTAGATCATTGTGAATTATGACCCACTCCACCAGAACACTCGCCACCCCTCCCAGCTTGGTTTCATCCACAAACTTTATTACGATTGAGCTAAACAAAGAAACAAACTGTTTGATGAGGGGACTGAGCCTGGGTAACAAATAATCGACGCTTTTAAATGATACTTTCATGATAAAGATTGCAATACAGTACTTCTATGAGGTGGACTCCAAAACACTAATTTTCTTTCTCATGTTTATGCAAAGCGATCCTCCGAAGGGACCTGCTGAAGGTAGGGCAGTGGAATAGGATCTCAAGGGAACTCAGGGCTAGGACATCAGCCTCTAGAACATAGGGTGGTGGGCTCGATTTGCCCCCCCCACACACACACACACCCAGGCAGTGACTGGGCCTCCAACACCAGCTGTCCCAGGGATGAAGTTTTTTTTCAGCAGGCGATATGCAAATTGAGCTCTCATTTGCATATCTTCAAAAAATGAGGGTTATGGGATCTTGCAAAAAAGGTTTTTCTGACTAATGGCCCAGTCTACACTGGGATTTTTATGGGCAAAACATCTTCCGCAAAAAGGATCCACAGAAGATATGCAAATGAGAGCGCAATTTGCATATCTTCTGCCAAAAAATACCGGCAGTGTAGACATAGCCTTATCCTGCTTTCCAGTATTAGGAAAGCAGGATAAGGGACCCCCTGAAGATAGGGAGATAAATATTTCTAATAAACAAAGTATAAACTGAGTATTGTGCACCTTCTATTCCTTGCTGGAAGACCATCAATATATTTGAAAACACAGAAAAACATCCGAAAACATTTAACATATTTCAATTGGTATTCCATCGTTTAACAACGTGCTTCATTGAGATCGAGGTTTTTTTAATCCCAATTGATTCTTTGAGTTATTTGCGTGAGTTAACTGCAATTGACCAATAGCGCTGCTATCTTCTGCCATTTTTTTAACAATACAAGTTGACATCTCAAAGCTCAAGTCAATCTAATGGGGACTCTCTTGGAGAGAGAGTCATGTTGGTCTCGATATGCAAAACTAACAAGGAGTCCTGTGGCAGCTTAGATCTCTTAGTCTTTAAAATGCCACAGGACTCCTCATTAAGGAGGAATGATTTAACGATGTGTGATCTGTGTGAAACTTTAGCCACAGACCAAGCACTTAGTGGGTCTCACCCAAAGATAGACCATCTGATATAACACAAGGGCTGATCTGTTTTTTAAACGTTTACCAAAGCCCAAACACGCACAGGGCCCCAGTCCTGTGTGGGCTGATGGATGTATAAGAAGCCTTGTTCTCTGTATGAAACTCTTCTCAAAGTCTAATCATTCCTGGGGGAATTCTCCTGTATGGACTGCTTGATGCCTAAGAAGTACGGGCCTCCATTTGAAACTTTTTCCACACTCTAAGCACTGATGGGGTCTGTCTCCTGAGTGGACTGCCTGATGGCTAACAAGGTCGGGCCTCCGAAGAAAACATTTTCCACAGTCTGAGCACTTATGGCATCTCTCTCCTGTGTGGATTCTCTGATGTGAAACAAGGGCTGACCTCCACTTGAAACTTTTCCCGCAGCTTAAGCATTTATGCGGTCTCTCTTCTGTGTGGACTGCCTGATGGCTAACAAGGTCGGGCCTCCGAAGAAAACATTTTCCACAGTCTGAGCACTTATGGCATCTCTCTCCTGTGTGGATTCTCTGATGTGAAACAAGGGCTGACCTCCATGTGAAACTTTTCCCACAGTCAAAACACTTATGGGCTCTCTCTCCAGTGTGGATGGCCTGATGTTTAATAAGTACAGACTGCCGCAGGAAACTTTTCCCACAATCTAAACACTTATGGGGTTTGTCTCCTGTGTGGATGGCCTGATGTTTAACAAGCTCTGACCTCTGTATGAAACTTTTTCCACAGTCCAAGCACTTATGCGGTCTCTCTCCTGTGTGGACTGCCTGATGGCTAACAAGGTCAGATTTCCATCTGAAACTTTTTCCACAGTCTAAGCACTTATAGGGTCTCTCCCCAGTATGGATTATCTGATGTTTAACAAGCTCTGACTTCTGTATGAAAGTTTTCCCACAGATTAAGCATTTGTGGGGTCTGTCCCCAGTATGGATTATCTGATGTTTAACAAGCTCCGACCTCTGTATGAAACTTTTTCCACAGTCTGAGCACTTATGGGGTCTGTCTCCTATGTGGATTCTCTGGTGTGCAACAAGAACTGACCTCCATGTGAAACTTTTTCCACAGTCTAAGCATTTATGAGGTCTTTCTCCTGTGTGGATTCTTTGGTGTGCGACAAGTACTGACCTCCATATGAAACTTTTTCCACAGTCTAAACATTTATGGGGTTTGTCTCCCGTGTGAACTGTCTGATGTGAAACAAGGGCTGACTTCCGTATAAAACTTTTGCCACACTCTGAGCACATATAGGGTCTCTCTCCCGAGTGGATTGCCTGATGTGAAACAAGATGTGACTTCTGTATGAAACTTTTCCCACATTCTGAGCACTGATGGGGTCTCTCTCCTCTGTGGCTTCTCTCATATTCCCCAGGATGTTCCAGCTGTTGATTCTCACTCACGGTCTCCTCACCTGCTAGGAGAGAGAGACACAATCCAGGCAGGAGTCACTGAGCTGGGGAGAAGGCACCAACAGAAAACCCAACACACTGAAATTGCAAAGAAAGAGCAATTGGCTTGTGCCTCCGCTTCTCCCACAAACAATGACAGGAAAGGAAACATGGGAAGAAAACTAACACGAGGAGTGGAAAGCAGTGTTCCAGAAGTGGGGAACTTCTTTTTGGATCTGGGGCCATTAACTCAAAATTAAAATCAGTCAGGGACTGCACACAAATTAGAAGCACAAAAACCCCAAATCAAAACAAAAATACCCCCCCCCCAATAACCCACACAAAAGCCCTCAGTGAGATGGCCCCCAATTGAGGAGAAAGAAACCCCCCACATTTCCCTCCCACACCAGAGGCTTGGGGGGGCTCAGATTAGTAGATTGTGTGTTCCAGCCCTGAAGAGAGACAGTGGAGGGACTGGAGTGCATCTGTAGGCTCCCCAATGCTCGATGGGGGGGGCACTGAACCTCAGGGGCCAGATCCAGGCAAGCTGGGGGCATTCTATTGTTAGTTGGGCAGCATATGAATTTTTCTTGAGTGGCCCCATAAGCACACAGCTTACAAGGAAAATTGATGGACAGGCATAAGCAGTTTCTGCTGACTACACCATGCCCTGCGTGAGAAGAGTCAAAACTCACACCCCATTATTGGGGTTCTCAGCTTTTTCCTTCATTCCCCAATTGGTTTCTGTTTGAGTCCTCACCTGTGCGGGTGCCTCTCAGGATCTGTCTTTCCTCCCCGGCATGGAGGTCGGGTACCCAGGGCTCTTCCCCTCGTTCCAGCCGGGCGATCAACTCAGGTTTGGGAACAGGAAACCCTGCACAGGGAGTGAAATCAGAGCAGGTCAGGGAACAGGGAGGGTGGGGAGAGCGTCTGTCCAAAGAGACATTCTGTGCGTGGAACCTGTCCCCAGACCCTTCTGGGGAATGTGCCGCCCAAGAGGACGGGAACATGGTCACTGAGCCCCTGGGGAGAGGCAGACGTGTGGGGAGCTGAGAGGAATTGTGACGCCCTCACTAAGAGTTCCTAGGATCTGGGCAGTCTGGGGCCCTTGCTGACACTCACAGCTGTGCAGTTACACCCCTGCTTATTTCTAAACCTGCAGAGCCCAGAGCCCTCCCCACGGCTGGAGCTCGTCCCAAGGAGGGAGGGGAACAGGGATTCTGGGTGCGGGTGAGAAACAACACAGACAGGAGGATACATGGTCCCCCCGTCTTGAAATCTAGAGGGGCCGGGTGGGGATGATTTAGCACGTCCATTAGGGTTTGACACCCTGGTCTCACTGCACAGGGTGCGGAGATGCAAGTCGCTCTCTCCCGGCATCTGTGCCCATGGAACCCATTCCTGTCCAGGCCACCTGAGCAGGGAAGAACCTGACCCGTGTCGGACACGCAGACCCCACGGCTCCTAATCCCCGAGGGGCCAGGACGCCCTTACCCAGCGAGGTCACCGCCTCGTAGTTCTCCTGCATGACGTCCCTGTAGAGGGCTCTCTGAGCGGGGCCCAGCAGCGCCCCCTGCCCCGGGGTGAAATACACAGCCACCTCCTCGAAGGTCACCCGCATCTGCAA